CCCCAAAACCCCAAAACCCCAAAACCCCGATTTTTAAGGGAATTTGACTGGTGTTTGGAATTAATGTTAGGGATTTTTGGGTGGTTTCTTGGTATCACGAAGGAATTTGTAGCTCTTCTTGTTTTTCTTGATGAAAAGTTGGTAAGCATCGAAGTGTTTGAAGTACTGTTTTAGCTCGCTTTGTTTGAATTTGCCTTCCTCTCCTGCCCATATTCGCTTTTTAGAAGCCAGAATCTAGAGTTTAGGTTTAGGGTACCTTCTTGTGCTTGTCTAGATGCAATTATTAGAGATTGTTACATTTTACCAAATTTTGTAGCTCTATAGATGTAAATCTAAACCTACGCTTCTCAGTGACGTTAGTCTGATTATTTCTCCTTTTCTTTATGACAAGTTTGCTATTCTTATGATACTTACTTAAGCAATTCTTCTTCTATCTCATCAACTTGGGGAGTCCTCATATTTTTAAGATTTTCTCTTTCTATCTTCATCAACATAAGTTGCTTTTCTTGTTCCTTAAACTTCTGTGAATGCTGTTCCAAAATAGTCTTTTTGATTTTATTTTTGCTTTATAAACATATTGGCTTTTCGCTTATAAGTATCTTCGTGCATCCTAATATTGTAAGAACTTGCTAATAAGATCATGTATCATAATGGATAGCTCATTAGTATATAATAGACCCCAATTAACTATGCGTTTCTCACTTAATCCTCACTTATAATATAAAGTAGTTAAGACATCCCTTCTCTGCTTGCTTATGGCTCATATTGGCACTATTCTGCTTCCTAAACTACCAGAACGACCCTTCGATATCGGCTACCTAGAACACTTACTCTTTGAACAGCTTCTGCATGCGCTTGTCTCTTTCTATATATTTGGCTTCCCTGACCTTCCTTTCTTTGGTGATCTTTTCCCGTTCAGGCCTCACTTTGGAACCGGTCTTTGAGAAGTAGAGTGCCGAGGGACTAGGGTTTAGAGTGGAGAAGGAGCCATGGTTTGGACATGGGTTGAAACTCATTTTCGGAGAAGTCTAAATGTGATAGTGTCCAAGATTTTATATCATTAAAAGAAATTAGGAATTTCCGATTGAATTGACTGAATAAGTATTTTTAGAGCAAACAGAATCTTACAGGGTGCAAATCAGGACTCTTGTGAAACTTTGCAGACTTATCTGCCTTAATTTTAGAGACTAAAGAATTTAATGAAGAAAAAATATTTACTCTTTTCAGGTCGGAATTTCTCTGCAAGATTTTCACCAAAGAAATTGGAAAGCTTGTTGTTCAGACTCTTCTCAGGAGGATTTATTTTATCTGACATTGAGAAGATACTATCTTCTTTGGAAACATTATGATTGTGAGACTCTTCCTAAAGGGCAAATGAAAATCTTACCTCCTGAGAATTCAGGATCATGCCAAACCGGGAGAATTTTTCCAAGCCTGTTTCTCCATGTCTGATTTCACTAAATTTCTGGTTATTTTTCATGTAAAAGGTTTTATGCTCATGCTTTCAAGTAGGAATTGGAAGACAATCCATTTGTAATGAGATAGCAAAATTAGCACAAAGAAATTCAGCATTAAAATGCTGTATTTATTACCTCGGCTTGTATACATATGGCTTGGGCTGGAGCTCGTCATGAAGAGCATAGGTCATGAACTGGTTACTTGTTCCTCACAAGAGATTTTATTTTAGCAAATGTTTTATGTCTCTTATTACCAGCTGTAGTAGTCAGGAGCGTCTTTCCTCTCTTTTTAGGAGAATTTGGAGTCGAATAAGCCTTCTTTTTGGATAATTTTGAAGGTTCCAGACTGGAATTAGACTTTTCTTGTTTGTTAATGGTCTTTTTAAGTGAAGAAGAATTCTCTTGAGATGCATTACTCTCTGAATCACTGAAGTTGCCTAAATCTATTGGAGGTTTACGGGGCTCTATTAGTTGAGAATTTGCTTTATTTATGCCCATTCAGCTCAATTCTAGTTTTGTTCGGATCAGTATATTTGGATAGGAAACTAGAAGTGTCAATATAATTTAGATGAGAGCCAAGGTTGGGCTTGATTTCACTATCAGAGATCCATTCCCTCTCAGGACTTCAGAAAGGGCTGCCTCCATTTAACCTGGGTTGTAAGATTGGTATGGAAGAAATCTTTCGAGGTGTTTTCTTTTTGATGTCTTCATCAAAGCTGTCAAATTCTTCTCTAAACACTTTCTTCCGTGCATCAATCAGCATTTGTCTCTTTTGAGCCATTTTATTTGATTGAAATGGTATTTTCGAAATCGAATATTCCTGGTTGAGAGGGCTTGAACATTTTTATTTCCTTATTTACCCATTAATAGCATATCCTCAAGGATTTTACGATCATTCCTGAAGTTATTGATCAGCTGAATCTGGCGATTTGAGGCGTCAACTTTGGGATTTATAATTAAACAATTATTGTTGAAGTAAGAATGTGAGCCAAAGGATACTGCCTTTTTGTGACCTTTAGTTGCTAATGGAGGCTTTTTATGTAGCTGTGAGTTACTCTGATCTGCCTCTTTAGAATTCTACAATTATATTAGATATTTATATCGAGAAGATTACCTTTTTGACGATTTCTGACTTATTTCTCATTTTATTAACTTGAATAATACCTTTATTTTGCTATCTTTGCATGCAGATCTTGAGCTGAGCCCTCAGAGACATGATGCCTAGTTTTTTCAAGTAAATTCAAGTCTAATTTCTGATTATGAATATAAGCTTTGCTATCATGCTTCTTTATCCTTTCTTCCCTCTCCTTCTGTTCCTGCTCACGGATACCTTTGATCTTCTCTTGTCGTCCCCGGTCAATAACAATACCAGGTTGTGTATAAACCCCTTCTCTTTCATGTCTTGGAATCTACTCTATTCACCTTAAATCTTACATTAAGCATGATGTCATTCTTGGTAGTAGTATGCTGGTCTACCAAATAATACTAATCCTTACTTCTTTCAAATCATTCTGAGAGGAACTCTTGGGTCATTTTGTTCCTTTTCTTATTCCGTTTCCGGCTATTTCTACTCAAAATTACGTTTAAATTCAAGCTAAAACTCACTTTTCCTCTTCTTTTTTGGCTCTCCGGTCAATTTCCCTCATTAAGATCTGTTCACGCTTGTCTCTGTAGCGCTGGGAGATCACCCCGAAGCCACTTTTCATTGTTCTTAAGTTATGGCCACTCATTTTGGAATTTATTAATTTTTCAATTTTTATTGAGATTTAGGGGTTTTGGGGTTTTGGGGTTTTGGGG